GTTGAACAGAAAAATGAGACTCATACTGGGGTTGAGGGTAGAGACAATGATAGGAGAAAGGAGTACAAAACTACCAGCTCTGAAGAGAGTGGTCCATTAGGAAACCATGTTTTGGGACTTTGTTTTTAGAATTGGGGTTATTTTTTTTTAAGATTTTATTTATTGATTGATAAATTTATTTATTATTGATAAATTTATTTATACAATTTATTTATTGATTTCTTTGAGAGAAAGAGAGAGGGAGAACATAGAGGGAGAGTGAGAAGCAGGCTCCCAGCTAAGCAGAGAGCCCAATATGGGGCTCGATCCCAGGACTCTGAGATCGTGACTGGAGCCAAAGGCAGATGCTTAACCAACTGAGCCACCCAGGTGCCCTGGGGTTATTTTTTATCATAGGATAGAACACCCCAAATGGAAAAATAGACGGAACAATCTGTTTGAAGCAAAGAAAAAGCTTGAACTGCTTCTAGACACACAGTGCATCCTGTCTTACCACAATCAAGATGAAAGACTCAGGCTGTCCACCAGCCGTGCAAAAAGAAATGGCAGATTCTCAACCAAGCAAAGCTCTGGGTCCTCGGCCGTAAACCCCAGATCCTGCAAAAACATGAGTCGGGAGGAGCCGAAACGCTGGGTGATGTGGGACAGTATGAGTCCCCAGGGGGATGTTGTTCTGCTCAACACGGGTCAAGGTGTTAGCTGAAATTTCCTACTGGATTTTTTTCTCTCACTCAACAGTGTTGAATTCATTCATCATTGGTATCTTGTGTGGGTTTAACGATGAACCCGCAGACCCTCATCTTCAAAGATAACATTGCCTGAGCCATGTCTTGGGTGTTGCCTTGCAAGCGGGAAGGACTTTTCTGCAATCATCTACACTCTCCCGGTCCACTTTGTGACCTTGGCTGACCCCGGGTACAGCTGGCCAGGGTCCAGTCGGTCATGCATTTGGGAGCTAGACAGCGAACCAACCTATTCAGGAATCAGCTCAATGTCTTCACTCATATCCGCACATCCCAGCCAGCAAAAGCCGCATGATATAATCAAATACTAGTCCTCTAATCAAAGATGTCCCTTGACCCAGGTATTGGGAGAAAATAAACAATCTGGCTGAGAGGGGGAAGGACTGTAGGTAGACAAAGTGGATAAGGCAACGGAAATCTAACCTTCCCTGTCTATGCTCTACCTCTTCCCCTGTTTTAATCCTGAAGAAACAAAACATCAGCAGGACCCTTGTTAGCCAGTATGGCCCCTTTCCTCAAGATATTTTAGTGCCATCTGCAAGAGTTTTGTTGCCATAAACACGTAAATGTCTAGGATGCTAATGGTATCACTTTAGGCATAGTGCATTTGTGCAGTGCACAACCTGCACATCCTTAGGCACTGGCTGTGGAGACCAGAGACCTACATGATGGACCTTCACCTGGCCTGAGTTTAACTTAAAAAAATGGAAAGAAGGGGGGCACCAGGGTGGCACAGTCTGTTAAGCAACTGACTCGGTTTGAGCTCAGGTCATGATCTCAGGTTCATGAGACTGAGCGCCCTCTCCCCAACACACAAACACTCAGGCTCTGCCCTGAGTGCCAAATCTGCTTCAGATTCTTTCTTCATCTCCCTCTGCTCTTCGCTCTGCTTGTGCATCCACTCTTGCTCTAAAATAAAGAAATAAATATTTTTAAAATAATTTATTATGTAATGTTAGTCACCATACAGTGCATCATTAGTTTTTGATGTAGTGTTCCATGATTCATTGTTTGCCTGTAACACCCAGTGCCCCATGCAATACATGCCCTCCTTAATACCCTTCACAGACCTCACCGGTCTCCCCAAGCCTCTCCCCTCTGAAACCCTCAGTTTGTTTCCCAGAGTCCATAGTCACTTATGGTTCATCTCCCACTCTGATTCCCTCTTTCATTTTTCCCTTCCTTCTCCTAATGTCCTCCAGGCTATTCCTTACATTCTACAAATAAGGGAAATCATATGGTAATTGACTCTCTCTGCTTGACTTATTTCACCAGCATAATCTCCTCCAGTCCCAGCCATGTTGATGCAAAAGTTGGGTATTCATCCTTTCTGATGGCTACGTAATATTTCATTGTGTATAAGGACCACATCTTCATCCATTCATCTGTTGAAGGGCATCTCGGCTCCTTCCACAGTTTGGCTACTGTGGACACTGCTGCTGTGAACATTAGTGTGCCTGTGCCCCTTCTTCTCCTTACATCTGTATCTTTGGGATAAATGTCCAGTAGTGCAATTGCTGGGTCATAGGGTAGCTCTATTAAATAAACAAATAAATCTTTGAAAAAAAAAAAAGTTGGCAGTAAGGTGATGCATGGAAAGGAGAATCTGATAGAAGTCATAGGTGGGGATGGAGACTCTCTCATTCTTCTGCTGTGTGCAGGAGGAACAACCAGCTAGTAAATGGAGCTGAATAATAGCATGAGTGCCCTGGAGACCTAGAAATGTAGGCGCCTCACAGGCTCCGGCCACCATCCAGCCCCCCGGCTCCCCTGGCAAGGGCAGAGGCACTTTGCTGGGTGCCAGCCAGCTTCTTGGCTCTACATCCAGGGACTGTCTACCGCAAAGGGTGCCCCCAAGAGGCTCTGGGGTCACTGGGAGTTTGGGCTCTCATTGGTGCCTTTTGTCTGACTGTTTACCAAATGAAAACGCTGTGGGCTCAGGGCACAGAGCCGAGGGACGTTGTGTCCCGGACTTGCCATCTTTGCTTCTCTCTTTGTGGGGGGTCAGGCAGAGAGGAAGGAAAGAATGAGAACAAGTTTCTTCCCCGTGCTCTCTTCCACTTAGAAAACCTCAGCTCAGGATGCAGGAGACACTCGGGGCCGTCCTCACCGGCACACTTACTGACACCTGCTGAGTGTGGGCACTCCATCCACCTGGGTACACGTTGTGTGTAAAGCTAAGCTGCCCGCAGACAAGCGGAGAGCAAGCAGCCGTCCAAATGAACTGGTGCTGGAGGAATTTCTGAGTCAAATGACACATACTTAGAATGCAGCCATAGGAAAAAAATACTGAAATTCTGACATGACCCATCACTTCGTTCTCTTCTTCACCATGACCTTCAACTAGCTCGTATCTCCAGCCTTTCCGGAAAGAGATCTATTGTGAATAAAGACAACCGTTAGATCCTGACCTTATTGTCTAGTATCTCCCAGCCCACGTGGGATGGTGCGGCATAAAATACGTTTTTAATAAAAGCCGCTACCAAGCTGTGGGAGAGCCGGGGTGGATGGTCGCCTGGCTAGGGAGGAACAGGGACCTAAGTTGCTGTCAGTTCCCCGGAGTGCGGCCTGGACAGCAGTCTGCTGGGAAAGTGGAGGAACAAAAGCCCAGTGTGAGTGTGTGGCCAGAGTGGGTAGAGAGGGAGATAGAGAACTTTCCCAGGGCCAAGAGTCTATGGAGAAACGCAGAGGAGGGAAAATTCTGCACACGTTCCGTTGTGATGGAGCCAGATGGAGGGCTGATGAAGTTCAGAGAGCCAGCCGGGGACAGGGGCACTGGCACTGGGGGGCACTCTAACAACATGTGGATGGCCGAGTTGATTAAATTAATCAGTGAATTGACGAAAGGCAAACAAGGATCAGACGCTGGAAATATTGAACAGTGCTGAAGGACATCAAAGTACAAACTTTGGTGTTAGACTTTGGACAAGTTATTTAAACTCTGTGAGCCTCAGTTTCCTTATCTGCAAAATGGGGATAATGGCATTTACCCTCATAGGACCTTTGCAGTGGTTGAATGACCAACGGGAATAACTTGGTTTGCACAGTGCTCGGCACATACAGTGAGCCCTCAACCGCTCATGCCATTCTTATCATGATCATTCCTATTGCTATGACGGATGGTGATCCATTTGCATAGGGAACTCCTGGAAGCTGGTGTGCTTCCTTTCATTCCCATACCAGGCCCTATGTCCTCCTGAGATTCATTTTTCTTTCAGGGTGAACTAGGAGCTTACTTTAGGCTTATTTTACCAGGACAAAATGTTGGAGGGAGATTTCCCTGAAGTTCAGAACTGTAATCATGAACCCCAACCTCTGGTCTCCCTCCTAGGTCCCTGACACGCACAGCCTCAGCGGCAGGAAGCAGGAGCAGGGGCTCCTAGGCCTGGGAACCCTGTGGTTTGGCGGGTGTCCAGTAGGGGGAGCCAGCGAGTCGTGGCTGCCTTGGGGACCTCTGACAAGAGCCATCCGCAATTCCAGGAGCGGGGAGGTCCAGGTGAAAGACCAGGACATCAGCACAGCTCTCTGGGTTGTTTGGTTTTTGCTTTAGTTTTAGTTTTTGTTTTTGTTTTAATTGTGCGCTCCAGGAAGTGCACCTGAGTTAGAGTCCCGCCATCACAGAGCAAGCCACAAATACTGAATTTTAAGAAGAATGAGAGAAGAAATGGACTTTTCACTTGAATTTTAGATTCCACTGTTATGGAATGTTTGCTTCCTGTCCAGTAAAAGGCAGCAGCCTTTGTCCTGGGATCCTCACCTGGAAAGAAGGACATTTCAGGGAAGCATTTATATGTTTGTTTCCTCCTCACTGGGAAAAAGGGCAGGTTGGTTTCCAGAAAATGAACTGCATACCCCTTGCCCTCCCCACCCTCACACCACACCCCTCAGGGCTTTGCTGGATTCTTACGCTGGTGCAGAAGCTGTGTGGACTCTAAGAGAACGAGAAAATTCCACCCGGGAAGCAGTCCCTTTGCTCTCTGAGTCTACAGTGCAGCAACTTTGCCCTTAGTTTTTAGTTTTAAGTGGTACCATGTTGGTCTTTTTTAGTTAGAAATATTCACCAAAGTATTTCAGGGTGAGGGTGGGAGCTAGAACAGGAGGGGAAGAAAAAGACGAACTTGCAGGATTGTCCCTGGGTACAGACCTTGGAACGCCACAGGAAAATGGCAAAGCTGCTGGCACCAAATCAAGAACAGAGTGGGGCAGGAGGAAGAGGGAGAAGGAGAGGAGAGAAACATCAGCAGAGAGAGACAGAGAGAGAGAAAGAGAGAGAGAGACTGAGCGAGGAAGAGAAAGAGACAGATATCAGGTGCAGGACAGGGGACTGGTCCTTGGCAATGCTTTGGCTGGGGATCCTGAAGTGGGAGGAGAAAGCAGAGGGCACGGATATGCCGAGTGGGATTCTGAGTATGAAACTGTCAGGTGCCTCCTCCCAGCACTATCTGCTCCCGAGCACCCTCCCTCTTACTAGAGCCTCGCCGCACTTTATCAGCCAGAGCCTTCTGCCCCTGGGAAGCCAGCCGGCGCGTGAGTACCCTCCTCATCTCTCTTCATTTCCAACTGTCCCCTGTTACCAGCTTGTCTGCTTACTCCTAACTGTTGCTCCTGCACCCTTTTCTTAGTGGAGAAATATGCCACAGATGGTTGCAATTGAGTGGAAGCAGCAAAGTCAGAATCCTGGAAGGCTGGAAAGCAATTTACCAAAGCCGCGGGCTTCTTGCTAAAGCCTGCAAGCCATGTCCTTTGCTCATGATTTCTGAAACAGGGTGCAAGCCCCACCTGAGCTCTGTGTGCAAGAGGGATTTGAGCAAGGGGTCCACTTTACATGCCAAATGACTCTGGGTTCACCCAGACTGGACAGGAGTTTCAAACCGTGTTCGTGAAATAGTTGAGTGAAGTGGAGATGTATCAATATGACTCCCAAAAAATGGGGTACAGGGAATGGCCCTTTCCAAATGTGGCTCTGCGCCCCTCCCTGCGTGTGCCGCTGAAGGGAGTGTGCTTGCTACCCACCGGGACAACCTGGACCCCAGGTTCTTTGCAGCTGCATTTTCTGGTGTGGAATTCAGACCCCAGGGCTTCTGGGAGTGGTGACTTCTGAGGACAGAAGTGTTTTCAGCAGGAGACAGGAGTACCTGACAGCATTGTCTTTGTTTCTGCTTACAGCTTTAAAGAAAACTGAGCACCTCCCACCACTTCGAACCCAAAACTATCTACAATAAAGACTATTGTAAGTACCAAATAAATGTCAATACTGAAATTCTCTTTATGAGAGAGCAGGAACGTTAAAATGTTTTCTTCTATGTCTATACCCAAAACTTTGTTTTATTTTTTTAAAGTGATGCTTGAGCCACAGAAAATTGAAGACTTTCAGGTCTCTCCAATTGCACAGATTTCTAATGTACGCTGAGTTTTATTGCATGTAAGCAAATAGGGAATGTTGGTTGAATTGAAATCCTGATATTGACTCACATTAGAATAAGTACTGCTTTGTTTCACTAATGACTTGGGTTATGAAGGGTGATTTCTGACTCTTGCTGGAAAGCTCACCAGGTGCTGCTTCCAGAATACTCCTGGGATGTTCACTTTAGCACCGATGGGCTTGTTGTGGATGTGTCAGTGGCACAAAAGAATGAGGCTCACTTTGAGGTACATGTCTGTTTGTCGGAAGAGTTCCTGCTTCCATCAAGGGCATAGGGTGAAAGTATGGGTGGCAGGGTCCTTGGCTGTTGTATGCCCCCACCCCAGAGTTATTTCAAGGCAGCCATGAAGACAAGCCTGTGTGCATTATGTCACAAAGCCCAGACGCGCACTGCAGACCCCGTCACTCGGGAGCTGCTCCTTCACTGTTTACTTGAATAGAATCTCGGGAGGCAGTAATGTGCCTGGCGCCAAGAAGACAAAGATTCCCTGTTGCATAAAGCTGACTCTGCCCAGGACACTTGGATAGTCTCCACTCTGAACCTCAGTTTCCTCTTCTATAATGTGAAGGCTTGAGCTATGTACTCTTTACAACCTTACCTGGATTCCAAATATTTCTCTCCGGGCTCTAAGAAAATACGATGCTGAGGCCAAGGATATTGTCTTCCTAGATGTGTGTGATTTTGGTGATGGGGGGAAATGGGAGTTTGCAGAGACCAAAGGGGGTAAACACCTACACGGAGGGAACATGACAGTCCCTGTTTGTCTCTTTCTTTTTTCCTTTTTTAAAAAAAACTGCATATAAGATGAGAGTCTTACCATTGGTTTTCCTTAATGCTCTTCTTTATCAAACAAACAAACAAAAATACGTAATGCAACCCACAGACATTTCTGTTAGTACTTAACTAGCCAGCTAGTTTAACCATGGATAAACACATACACGCACCACTTTTTTCCCTAAGACGTGTCAATAATATTTTCCACAATTGTGGATTTTTCAAGGCAAGCCTGTAAAAGAAAGTAAAAATTAAATAAAGGAGGGACAAAAAAGGAAAAAAAAAAACCACCACGCACACACAACTTTTCTGGAACTTGTGAAGGAAGAATGATCTCTTCGAATGCAAGGGAGGATTTTTGTTTTTTGCTGTTTTGTTTTGTTTTTTTAATAAAACTTACAAAAAGTTGCCACACTTGTTGACTTCAACTAAGAATTGTTTATCATTAACAAGGTGATATCTAGTATTTAATAATTCTTGTTCTGATACAAGACAAAATGCCATTTAGCAGCCTCTCAGACTGGGCTCCTGCTGTGCATGAAGACAGTGGCTTGTATCTTATTACAGAAAATAGAGCCCACCCCACGCCTTCTTCTATTTGTAAAGAACAAGGCTGCGGGAAATTGTTGGCATTGGTGTTGGCCCCTTAACAGTCTGCCTGCAGCAGGTCAGAGCCTGAAGCCCACCCCTCCCTGTGGCCAGGCTTCAGCTCTGCTAGCCTCCCTCTGGTAGAGAAACACGGCAGAGCGAAATCTGTGCATTGGTTTCTGTGCGCGAGGTTTACTATCATTTTTTTTTTTTTTAAAGATTTTCATTTATTTGACAGAGCACAAGTAGGCAGAGAGGCAGGCAGAGAGAGAGAGGAGGAAGAGGCAGGCTCCCTGCCGAGCAGAGAGCCCGATGTGAGGCTCGATCCCAGGACCCTGGGATCATGACCTGAGCCGAAGGCAGAGGCCTTAACCACTGAGCCACCCAGGCGCCCCTCATTTTTTTTTTTTTTTTTAATTTAAGTAAAGTAAAATGCACGTCCCATGTCTGTAGTGAGCTCACTGTCCCTCCTTGCTGCTGGAGAAGGCTGCCTTGTCCGTTGGGGTCTCCAGCTGGGGTCACGGCTGGGCTCCCAGGACCCCTTGGGGGCACTCCTGCCTCCCTCTATCCTGCATTTCCCAGGCTCATGCTGCTAATTCACGTCTTTTTGCCCTTTGTCAAGTATGGAGAGAAAGGAAGGATGAATGGACAGTCTTTGATTGGCGCCGCTGGTGACGCCCCTCGTGGTCCTCTTTGGAAGGACCCTTGTGGAGATGAGGCTGGTGAGGCCGGGCTCCGAGGCTTCTCCTGGCTCGGCGTGGTCCGGGCACACGGGCCCCCGGATCAGGTAGGCTCCCTCCGTGCAGCCTCTGTCTCGGGAAAGTCGGGCGCCTGCGCTCCAAGCTCTGGTGTGGCTTTTCGTAACGAAGCCTGGGAAGTGGGGTCCTCATGCTCTGCTGAGGGGCGCGGCTTGGGAGCACGCTCGGGAGTCTTGGTCCCGAAAGTCACGCGGCACTCAACTGGGGTTAGACGGGGGACCATTGACCTACTGCGTTTTGGTAACAGTGGAAAGGCTAGGAAAAGGGCGTCTGGGGTTTTCATCTTATCCTGCTGCTACTTATTTAGAGCTTCTTCCCCTTATTTTCTTCTTTTTAGTTAAATTTAATGGCCTACCTAGATTTGAGAAATCAGAGCATCAGTAGAAGTCCCCCGGCTGCATTGTCCTCCTGATCAGAATCCTTTTTTTTTTTTTTTTTAAGATTTTATTTATTTATTTGACAGAGAGAGATAGCAAGAGAGGGAACAGAAGCAAGAGCAGTAGGTAGAGGGAGAAGCAGGCTTCCCACTGAGCAGTGAGCCCCATGCAGGGTTCCATCCCAGAACTGTGGGATCATGATCTGAGCCAAAGGCAGACGCTTAATGGCTGAGCCATCCAGGCACCCCTTGATCAGAATTCTCAAAGTTCTCCAAAGAACTGCAAAAGTCACGCGTGATAAAATTCTAGGGTGAACTACAACCTTGAAGTTACTGGTTTCTTGTAACCACTTTTCATGCCTGAGTTCTGGAGCAAGTCTTCAGGATCTGAAGGGCTCCGGAAGCTTCAGTAATTCAGAATAAACGGTTGGTGGGCGGGGTCTGCCGCAGCACCAACAGTCTGCTTAACCTGGGAGAGGAGCCCTCTCTCTGGGCCATGATACCCCAACAAACCATCCCAACGTGTGGGTGCTAGAGAGACAAATCACGATAAGCCTTCTATATGCTGGATTGTGGAATCAGACAAAAATAACTCAGTCTTTCTTTCACTTTGGGAGGCTCCCGGAGGAGCTCAGGCCATGCAGGTTCGGAATCACGTCTGACCAGTTACAGTATCAGGTTTGGCATCTGTATCTCCAAAATCTCTGAGCTGATGGTGTATTTAAAACCCTCTAAAATCAATAAATATATGCCGGAAATTTCGAGAACATGAGTTTGTTCACCCTGAAATAACCTATACTCCTTATTGTTTCTGTGGTTGATGGAAAAATGGGAGTGTTTCAGTTCGACGCTGCCTCTGTAGGAAGGGATCCACTCAGTTGTAGAAAAACCCAAAGCAATTGTGTCTGAGCTTCTAGCCTGGGGAGAAACCTGATGCCTCTCAGGAATGGGTCCTGCTTTGCCAATGAGTCACTGGAGCTGAGGAAGGAGCTTCCTGAGCAATGTTGTCAGTTATGAGATTTAAGAGGAAGATATATGAAAATAAATGATAGCCATCACTTAGATTATGAGATAAAAGGTAGTTTTTCATAATTATTAAAATTCAAGTCGTTTGCCATGTTTCACTATGGGGCCAGCTGAGTTCCCCATAGACTAAATTTTGGTTCCTGACCTCCAGCAGTTTTCAATTGAAGAATTTCTTAATGCCGGGCCACCTGGGTGGCTCAGCTAGTTAAGCATCTGCCTTCGGTTCAGGTTATGATTCTAGAGTCCTGGGATGGAGCCCTGCATCGGGCTCCCAGCTCAGCCAAGAATCTGCTTGTCCCTCTGCCTCTCCCCAGCTCAAGTTCACACTTGCGGTCCCTCTCTCTCCCCCACCGCCAAATAATAAACTAAAAATGAAATCTTAAAAAAAAATAAAAATTTCTTTATGCCAAGGTTCATGGGCAATCTCACAAGTGCTAGAGTCTAACACTACTTTGCCAAGACGAAAGGAGCTTGGTCTAGAATTCATTGCATAAATAGCTTCTGCTTTGTGTAATGATTAGTGGTTGGCCATTGTTTAAAAGCAGGACACTTAGGTAGTGAAATAATGCAATTGAAGTGTGTGGCTACTCAATAAAAAAAAAAAAAATCAGTTACCCACATTGATTTTTGTACTGGGATTAATAGAAACCCAAACCAGAGTCAGGATTGCAAAAACTAAAAATTTTGAAAAAGTATAACTTTATTATCTTTTAATAGGTGCTTGTTGGCTATGATAAATGCAACAAGGATGGGGCCAAAACTAGCCATGAGACCCCCTTATTCACAGCCTGGCCACAGGAAGAAGATGAGCTGGTTTATCTGGATAGATTTGGGGTATTACCTTGGTCGTGTCTTCTATGCATGCCTGTGGCTTCAACTCTCCACTGGTGCCTTCTGGAGTCTGATAGTTCTGAGGTTTCCCTACTCCACACTTACCTGACTGTGCTCACAGACTTTCTTGCACGCTCAGGGTGGTTTGTCAATGTCTTTCTCCCTTTGCCCCCCTCTGGGATTACATCATTGATATTCTTCTTTGGTGTCTACCATTGGCACTGTGAAAACATCATTGTTGTCTAGAGGGTCCCATTCTGGTGATGTTGGTGCTTTCCTATCACACAGTTATCATGAGAAGTAAAGAGTCTTGTAGTGAATGCAAGTCACGGTTATATCAGTATTTTCCTGAGGCAAGCTTGCTATAATCATGCCTTGTATATTCTTATCTTGTACAATTCTTGGATTACAATTTTTTTGTTTTTCAATAGCTTGGTTCACTTTTACCTTTTCC